GAAAAAGTAGGTGTCTATTTATTTGTGACCACTCAGTGTATGCTACATAAACAGACATAGTTGAATAAGATAATTACTAAGTTCAGTTTGAAGGCCTGCTCACTCCCATTAGAGTTAGCAGTAATTTGAATTATTATCATAATGTGGTACAACATATAAAGTAAGTAAAATAATAACTTATATCGATTATATTTTATTTAAATATTACGTTTTCTTGCTATGGATATCGTTTTTTTACACAGCATGAACGTGCAAATAATTATTTTTGTGTCCTAACATGAATTGGCCTGTCAATAAACAAAGAACTATCTTGTCAATAAATGTTTGACTAGGAGAAGTTGTAAGACTAAGGGAATAGTCTTAAGTTGTGTGTTGGGTAAGAGGAAAATGTTTTATTTTGTCTATATATTTTTACGAACTGTAAGCTATTGTATTTCATGAGCGTCGCCATAATTATATTAGGGGTGGGGCTTATTCCTGTTTATTATGCATCTTTCTTAACAATGTCACTACCTAGGCCTACATAAGTATATCGTGTATGTATATTATAATTATGAATATTGTACACATGCAAAACCACGTGTTATGCCTGGAAGTAAACTCGATAAAGCAAGTTATGTTGAAATAAATATTCTTGCAAGTTTAAAAATATGCTAGATACTGTCTAGTCATTACAATTACACGCATATAACTCGTGTTTAATAATTTAATAACTTTTCAATTTTGCACTTTATAAGTTTATTATATAATTTAATTATAACTTATGTCAGTTATGAGGTAGACCAGAGATGAAATTCGCAACAAAAATTAAAAAGTGCCTGTACATTATTATTAATTATATCTTGGTTGAAGATTACAGCTTAGCAAAGTAACTCAGAACACAATACTTCTATTACACACACGTATCAGAACACAATACTTCTATTACTCACACCTATCAGAACACAATATTTCTATTACTCGCACCTATCAGAACACAATATTTCTATTACTCACACATATCAGAACACTATACTTCTATTACTCACACATATCAGAACACAATACTTCTATTACTCGCACCTATCAGAACACAATATTTCTATTACTCGCACCCATCAGAACACAATATTTCTATTACTCACACATATCAGAACACAATACTTCTATTACTCACACGTATCAGAACACAATACTTAATACTTCTATTACACACAATGTTCTTATGTGTGTGTAATGGAAGTATTGTGTTCTGATAGGTGCGAGTAATAGAAGTATTGTGTTCTGATACGTGTGTGTAATAGAAGTATTGTGTTCTGATATGTGTGAGTAATAGAAATATTGTGTTCTGATGTGTGTAATAGAAGTATTGTGTTCTGATGTGTGTGTAATAGAGGTATTGTGTTCTGATGTGTGTAATAGAAGTATTGTGTTCTGATAGGTGTGAGTAATAGAAGTATTGTGTTCTGATATGTATGAGAAATAGAATTAAGCTATGATTTGTAAATATAGAAAATAAAGAAATCTCTGGGGGTGGGGGATGAATATTCTTTCCTAAATATTACCAATAACGATACCTTAGTTTTCCTAAATATTACTAATAATGATACCTTAGTTTCGTAGAGCTATTCTTTTGTTTATTTTTAAATTTAAGTTAACTCTAAAACTGCATGAATCATGGTGTGTTGTACCATTAAATAGTAATTACATTAACTCTTGTGTTATATTGTGAATTGTATTTGTACAAGCAATGAAATATGTATTTGAATACTGCTAACTCAAAAATGTAATGCATGTGTAAAATAAGACAAAACAGGAATAATGTGCTTTTAAAAAATAATTATTAATGATGGCTCTGTCAAGTGTATCTATAGACTTTCTTTCTAAATTCATTAGGTAATTTACAAAGTAAAAAAAATAAATAATATGCTAAAGCTTCTCATTTGAAGTAAAAAGTTTATTGAAAGTTTGAGATTAAAAGTCGAGCCAGATGTGTGTATCCAGTGGTGGATTAAGACACCTTGGGATCCTGGAAGACAGTGAATAATAATAATTAATATGAGGCTCCCTCGTGCATATTATTTTTGTTGTACAAGAAAAGCATTACTTCACAGTTAGATATCCACCTTGGACTACAGATGCATCTGTGTTTATAATTAAATTCCATGTTTTCATATATGTACATTTTTAATGGATCATCTTATTTTTAACAACTTAAATCCTGCTCAAAAATAATGTTTTATTCAAAACTATAATAAAATTTCAAATAACACTCCCACTTTTAAAGAAACGTTTTTCAAAACTTGTTTCCTTTATAATAATTTATTTTCAACAACAGTACAGTATCCCAGCCTAACATTTTTGTGGCTCCTATTTGCCTTGCAGCCCTGCTGGCCTCCCCTTGTTTGGCCATGGTGTGTATCTGTTAAAAATTATTCATATCTGCTTTTGTAAGTTCAAGTGTGAAGTTAATAAGTCTTACCTGGTGTATCACATTAATCAACAAATGAGCATGTAAGTGAAGAAAAAGTTTTGTTGTAAAAATTATCTAATAAATAAAATAACCCAAATCAAACTTTTCTTACTGTGTTATCCAGAATGACTCAGATCAGACCTTCTACCCTGTGTTATATGTTATTAATAAATTCACACTTCCTTACTGTGTTGATAGAATGATCAAAGTCAGACTTTACTTCCTGTATTGTATAGAATGATCAAAGTCAGTTTGTTTCGGAATATTTAGATAAGTTACAAGATTTTACTGTTTTTATAACTTTATTACATCTTAGTTTTACTGTAGGTATTCTGTACAACCAGCTATGGCAAAAAGCATACGTAGTAAATGGAAAAGAAAAATGAGAGCAGCAAAACGAGAGAGATATGCAGTAAAAGAATTGATACAGTTGAAGAAAGTTCTAGAAAATGATCAAGGAGATGTTGACATGGCAGCAGTGTACACAGGTGTGTGTGTGTGTGTGCCTCGACCACTACTACGTCTGTTGTACACCAGTCGGCCCGATGAGCCCTGGTATTGGGCAAAAGGCCTCATCAGTACTGGATATGGCAGATATAGTGTGGTTGGCATATTATTACATTCTTTAGTTTTGCTCATAAGTTCTTGTAATCTATTGAACTTCCCTAAATTGATTGTTTAAGACGTACCTGCTAAGTTTCTCTGTCAATTAATGTGAGTAATACCATATAAGTTAGCATATTAACCACTTATTTTTCATTCAGATGTTTGTTAGTAATAGAACATACTTGTTGCGTGAGTACTTCTCTTCTGTTACAATTCATGGGAGTATCTGGAACTCGTAGTTTTTTCTTTGTTTCCACATGTTTTAATAATCCAAAATAATGTAATACAGATAATTAACCGTATATATGCAATCTTTGTTGACTTTATAATTTTCCATAATATTCAGTTTAATGTTATTTACTTTGTGTTCGAGGCAAACAGAATAAGAATTATGTTAATTTCACAGCTTCAAAATTCAACTCGAGTTCTCTAAAGAAAAATATAAACTGTAAAAATTGCTTTTATTGATTTTAATGTTCAGTAAATAATAAAAATTGTACTAAACTGAAAATTAAAATTTTTTTAATCTTTTGTTGTGTGTGTCATATTTCGGTAGTAAAATTTTCATTACTTTTGTACTTCAGAAGTTTTGCCTTTTTTTTTTAATGAAATTCATAGATTGAATGTATAACATCCCGTTTAGTTCAACCTTTTGTTGCACGAATCAAGTTGCTATAAAAACTAATAAAAAATTACATGTTAAATAAGGATTAGAGGTAAACAAAACATGGATACCCAAAATGTAAGTAAAGAATATTTCCTTGGATCTCCTGACGAAAAGAAGCTGTATGATTGAAGACGTGTTGTCAAAACTAAGAATTTTTGTTGCAACATTGTAATTTTTAAACTGTTTTTTGTCAATATTCAAAAATGTTAATGATACAAGTATTTCTCATTGTCATTTTTTTTAGAAGTGGTATAAAATTATAGATTTACAGCTGTCATATTACGGCAGGATTTTTCCATTCTTTGTATATTACATCTTGTAAAATATCCAAAATTGCTTCCTTTCAAGTTGAGGAAATTTGCCAACAATATAAAGCCGTGGGCAGCCAAAACCACACATGACCTCAAACATTAGACATACTAACTGGTTTGCATGTGCTGACCATTTGTTACGCATAACAAGATTTTATCTTTAGTCCCTAAAATATTTTTTAGTGTTAGTAAATGCATATCAAGTCTCGGTTCTGACCAGTTATTATGTTCTGTATTAATGTTACCTGTAATCAAATCTTTTGTATCCTAGAATTATCTTTTTTTTTTATTGGTTTACAAATCAAGACGCGTACAAATGTTAACAACATTTTGCTTCTTTGTACATCATTTATATGTGAGTGAGTAAATAAACAGTAATGTAAATCTTACTCGTGTAGTTAGCTTTCCAAAAACATACAAACCAATATTCTGTTAAAAAAGCTTAAACTGCTGAAACTTCGGTAAGTAGTATGTTAAAGCTTTGACCAAAAATGGTACTTTTATTTTTTAACACATGGAGTCAGCACTGAACAATAAAAGTAGTCTCATAAATATGTTATTTCTTGTTGTGATCATACTTAAATGATAATTTGAACTGTATTGTGGTGATTTTTACAGTTACAGATGCAAAGACCTTGGCCAAACAGCAGTCAGAAAGGATAAGAGGTGATTTAAAAGAACCAGGTGAGATGGCATAGAGCCTGGAGTTTGATTATTAGAAGTCAGTGGGTTAAGATGATGATGTGGGATTTTTTTTTATCAAGTAAAAATTGTTAACATAATATAGAAGTAAAATTCTCTGACGTTGAACATGTATATTTTAGTTATTTGTGGTTTGTATAGAAGATTTATAATTAATAAACTCCATCCAATAAATGAAATAAAAATTGTTAATTTACCAATGTAGGTAATCATAAGAACTATATTTCATGAATGGAATTTATGCCTTACTAAACGCATGTTGTGGAGGATCCAGCTGTTTGCATGTTTTTCTCCTAATTTCACTGCTAATGTTTCTTAACCACATTTCATCAACTCAAGGACAACTTAGTTTAAGGTTAACATTGTAATAGAGATGTGAGTAAATCATAACTTTGTTTCTTTTGACAAAAAGACACTGAAATATACTATTGTTTGAATTATTATCAAGATTAAACACTTGAGCAAAGTCCTACAGAAGAGTAAGTTCTATTTTATGTACATGCGGGACAAAATTCACTACTGCTACATTTTATAATTTGTCAAATGAATGAATATATCCAAGTTTTTAAAAAGGAGTTAAGCTGTCAGTTAGATAACTGTTGATTAACTTTCTAAAATTTAAAGATAATTTTACCTGTTTAATTTTTTATATGAATCAAAGAACACAAACACACGAGATAATACTTTCTGTTGTTAGATCAGTAATGGCTACTGGTGGTAAATAGTACAGAATGCTTTTGCAGTGACTGATATTTTGTAAACATATTGTAACTGTTTTGGTGTTTTCCTTCCTACAGAATCCATGATGGAGTTAGATAAACCTCAACGAAACTATAACCCCTCCACACTTAAAGATCAATATGGAAATTATCCCGTCTGGATGAATCACAGAAAAATTAAAAAAATGAAGGCAAAGCAAAGAAAAGCGTCAAGAAAAGCAAAGAAGAAAAAAAATTAAAATCTTTATTTTTTTATGTACAGAAACATTAATATTGTGATTAATGATGAAATCTATTGAAATTAAAGATCTTAATACCCAGAAAATAAGAACTTTGTTAATTGAGGACAACTTATCTTGTAGTAATATAGAAAGTTTTAATACAACAAAAAGTGTTGAAACAAAGTCAAAACTACAAAAACCGAGTTACTTAAAATGTAAAATATTTGATCCCTACTTTGGCAAATCACTGTAATTCTGATCCAAAGCAGGGATAGCTAGCTAGGTTAAGTTTATATTGATCCCTACTGATCTTTATAAAGTATAATATTTTTTATTGTATTGTTTGTTTCCTTTTTATTAGCTATATTTTAGTGGGGCACATGTATACCCGATTCAGTTTCATTACTCATCAGGATCTCTACCAACAAATCTAATTATATGCCTAAAGTAATGCATCTTCCATATACATACTAGTATTCTTTTTGTTATAAGAAGACAAGAGTCCTGTGAAAAATTAGAATAATAAGGCTAATAATTATTTCTGTATGCTTGTATGAAAAAGTCACTTACTTATTTACTTAGACGAAAATTTCTTGAAATAGTGAGACTTTGATTCACTTCATAAACTCGTATATAGTGATTTAGGTGGCTTTATAAGTACAATAAGCTTTAGTCTTGCTCAGCCAATACTGTAAAATAGTCACTGTTAATATTCGGACATCTTAAAGGTGGTTTTAAACGGGCGATTTTTATGGACACCATTTTGTTTCATCGTGATATTTGTAATGATACATATAAAAGTAGTAGTATTTTTAAATGTAATTTAAGTTCTTTCTCATAAAGCACCTCTTCTCGATAAAAGCATTACCGGGATTTTACATTCAACTTATACGTACATCAAACAAGTTCCTCAGTGTGAAGCATGAAATTACATTTCCATTGTAATTTTGTTATGGATTTCTTCCTTGTTTAGACATATAAAATTAAATGTTGTATAACTGACAGGTTTCTCATGAGCTTAAGTTGCATATTGAGGACCATATTGTTTTTGATAGTGACATCTTTTTTTTTCCCCTTTTCATTTTTTAGCAATTAACCATAATTATCATGTTTTATCTTAAACTCTCGATTTCTCGGTGGATGATAAAGTATCAATTTAACTAATCAAGAGAGAGAAACAGACAAGTTAAAACATCTTTCCAAAATTTATTCCATGTTGACAACAATTAGGTGCTAGAATAAAAACAAAAAAGAGAAATGTACAAGATGGTAACATTAAAATACATTTACATCTTTGTTAACAGCTTCATTGAATTTTAATACTGCCTTTGTTAGCGTGCTGGCCAAATGGTTCAACTTAAAATGCTAGCAACTATAAATAGAAATTTACCACAGTTCACCTAATACCCGAGGAATAAGAATGTTTTTATGACAGTTTTAATAAACACTACACTGACAGATTGTATTGTTAATTAAAAAATAAATACTTAAGCATGCTATTACATTTCTTACACACACCAATGGAAGTTGTTAAGAAAACATATAAGTGGGTTGCCATGGTTGTAGATTAACAGTCAAACTTCAGTTGGAAGTGATTGTCTCAACACTTACATGATCAATACAATCGGTCATCCATATAAACAACTAACATAAAATTTATCATATTAAGGATCTCACTCATTAAAGACTTGTAGTCACGTACATAGTCCTATGGCCACAGCAAACAGGAAAATGACTTGAGTGTAGAAAATTAGAACACTTGTAAAAATCAGTCAACAGCTGCACACACACACACACACATGATGACCATAATTTATATTATGTCAAGAGGAGTACTGAAGAAAATAAGGTTTAAGTGCTGCTAATATTTAGGAAAAAAAGTATCTTCATATTTTGAGAATAATTGCAAGATGCAATTTCTGTGATTTAAACATAATTTGATTCTCCTGTTTATAATATTTATCTCTCATGGATAGTAAATGTCCATCCTGTTTATAATATTTAACTCTCATGGATAGCAAATGTATGTCCTGTTTATAGTATTTATCTCTCATACAAATATTTCAAATAATGTTGAAGATACAACTTTGACCACTCTAGTAATAACTATTCTGTTGACTGATTAACTTTGTCTCGGATGTTAATATACATTTTTTAACAAGCTCACATATTAAGGAGCTCAGGATAGAGTATGTATTTCAAAAACTTATTTTTTTTTCTCATCAGATTATTACCTTCAAACATTCTCACTAGACTTCTTTAAAAAATGGTTGATGAAAATCTAAATCGTCACATAAAATGAATTGTAAGTACACGACCATGTGATTGTTGTTTCTTCACCTTATATGGATTCACTTGCTCTGTTGACAGTAAATAATAAAGATATGAACATTGATATGGGTACCTTCCTAAACCTTTATGTAAAGCAGATAATCCACTCTTCTTCTACAGAACACGGAAGGCACCAGAGTTCACAACAACAACACCATATAACAATGATAAAACCACAAAAATATACACTGAAAACAGTGAAAGTTATTCTTACTTTAAATGCTAGTACATGTTTGTTACTAGAATTTCCAAAGTATTATTTCTGAACATACTTTTATGTATTTGTTTCTATAATCAAATGGTTGTCATCTGCACTAGTGTTTTTTTTGTGAATGCAAATTCTACACAGATGTAATTAGAGTAACTGTCAACTTTAAAACGTATACGAATATGTATATCATCACAGCAAAATGGCATAGATAGCCAACAACATTGAGAAAGAACAAGGCTTACTGGAAGTTCTGATCATAACCAGTTAGTACCACATGTTGTACTTACAACATAGCTCTGGCCTTTTGTTATTTTATCCCAACATTTCAGTTCAGAGACAAAATAAAAGCTTAGAATGAGTGACCTTTGAAGGAATTCTACAAACTGTATTACCAATATAAAGATTATATTCACAGACTATTATGTTAATATAGAGATAATAGTACAAACTTCATGCTAATTGCACTAACAAAGATCACCTTTTTCAACAACTTACAATGTAATAATTCACTATACTAACAACACAGAAACACTGAAGTCGTGTTTTAAGTAACAAGGTCATTAAGACTGTACATTAAACAATTTTACTGTAGTATTTTACTATTCCTTTCCTGTATTAATGGCACAAAAATGCTGAGCTTTGCCATTCCTATTATCGAACTCGAACATTATTTACTTTTATTAAGGGAAAAGAAGATAAGATACTTATATAAGTTCATAGGAAGTTGGGATGTCAACACGCATACATACAGACATATTTAACATTTGGCACTTTCTTAGACCAGCCATGAAATGTGAATTGTACTTTCATGAAACAATTATTCTACATCAGTTTTTAATACACGTTTCCATGAGAACAAATTTTGCTTAAAGAGAAGTTTTGTTGAAAATTTGGTACAATAAGGTTCAGAGTTCAAGCCTGGTCAGTGCCTGAAATCCTGCAATTTACAGCACCAGTCAAAATCCCCAACTTTATTTAGGACAACTTTGTTCTCCAGAGAGCCACATAAACAACAGTAGTATCAGGAATAGGATATGGGGTAAGAGACGTGGTAGCTGGAAAATTTCAAGATCCATGGCTACCAAAAGACGAAGGAGGAAGAATGATCTTGGTAGAGAGTCGTGACAGGCGAGGCTCCAGACACAGAGACAACTGGTATAATTCATCATCCTGCATCAAACGTTTCTCGTCAAGAAGATAATTTGTAACCTGGAAGAAAAATTATTGTATTAATTTAAAAAGTTATCATGCAGTTGGATTAATTATCTTAAAGTATTAATTATAAAAAAAAGTGTGGTCATACAGGTTATTTATTTACATAAAAATCGTTTGAAGAAAAAGTGAATATGTAAAGTGTTAATCTTTTAAAGACTGTGGCTAGGGTTGGAAGTTCATGTGCTATTAAGTTTTGAAAAAATGTTGAGCTCAAAGATGAAAATTTCATTCACTTTGATAAAACAAGTTTAACTAAAAAGTCTTAAAGGAAAACCATATATGAACCAAGTTTTCCATGAAATTATCCGGCAACTCGCTTAAGACTTATTTAGTATCCAAATCAAGGCTTGTTTGTCATCTAGAAAAATCTACATAACTGACAGAAAAATAAGGTTTTGCATTATAAATGGTAGTTTGTTCTTGAACTGAAAAGGAAGCTTGTGGTTGGAGAAGATCAAAGTAAGCAGTTAATAGTCTGTGTTAAACTGGCATCTCATGCACAAGATCTGGAGTTTTGTAAAAAATTGTTGGGTTGAATTTAAAAGTAGTGTCCGACAAGAAAGTAGTAAATGAAAACTTTGCACATTACTAAACTTTCACTGGAGGAGAAAAACAACTTATAATTAAAATATATAGGTAATAAACATTTTGTTTAATGAATGAACCGAGATATATAAAAGTAACGAAAGGAAATTTGGCTAAATAAACAATGTACCAACTTTTTATGTATACTTTTTAATTGATTCTTGCTTATTGTATTAAATTTATTACTTTTGTAATTCAATTAATTTAAAATTCCACAAAAAACAAGAGATATATAGTTTGTTTGTTTGATAAGTACTTTTTTTCTTGTCATTAACAGTTTGAATTCAGCTTTTTGAGTTTCAGTAGGAGGATTAAAACAGCTAGCTGATACACAAGCACTAGAGAAATTTAAGAAATTTCTTACCTTTGGACTCATTTGAATTTTATAGGGAGTTTGCTGAAAGTGCCGAATTTCCCGAATCACATGAGCAATCTGAAAAAATTAAATAGCCAATCACAGTAAAACATTATCTTGTAATAGGAGTTTCCCAAACATTTAATATGTAACCATGGTAGCCGTTATGTTCCTGGAGTCCATTGCTATGTAACAGGTAATCGTTGAGTTTAACAATTTATATCAGAATTAAAATTGAATTTGTGTCTTAGTAATTTTTATACTATAGGACTTTTAAGACAGGATTTTGAAGAAACCAAATTATTCGTTAATCCTGACATTAGAATTATACTAATGAAATGCTCAAAATATTATTTTTAACTTAACTTAGTTGCAAACAAGTTGTTACATTTTTTATTTAAGCACATGGATAAGTTGTCACATTTAACAGAAACTCCAAATTTTGTTTTTAGGTGAAAAATTTTGCTTGTGTAAGTACAATATACAATACTAAACTTGGTGAAAAATTTTGCTTGTGTAAGTACAATATACAATACTAAACTTGGTGAAAAATTTTGCTTGTGTAAGTATATACAATACTAAACTTGGTGAAAAATTTTGCTTGTGTAAGTACAATATACAATACCAAACTTGGTGAAAAATTTTGCTTGTGTAAGTATATACAATACTAAACTTGGTGAAAAATTTTGCTTGTGTAAGTATATACAATACTAAACTTGCCATTCTCATTTTTGAAAAATTTAGCAGTCCTTCATCTGTGAAGTTTGGAGTACCTTCTTCGATAAAAGATAGGTCTGTAAGGTACATGCCCAGGTAAGGAATACATGGTGGGTCGCATCTGGTATGGAAACATGATTTTGTATTAATTATAATAAAAATTTGTGAAAGTTGTGTGTTCACTCTATGTTATGAAAATTAAATAAATACTTTTAAATTCTCCATTATTTGAAGATAAACCTCACGATTACAAGTTTGCTTTCTTAAATTTCATATGGAAATTCCCTCAGTGGCTTGAAGGTTTATAATGCTATAATTCAGAAAGGAACACAAATAGCCCATTATGCAGTTTTGCACTTAAAAAACCAATAAGGACAAAAAGATTTCTAGTTCTTGTCAGTAACAGGGAACTAAAAACTAAATTAGTAGACAATTAGTATATTGTCACCCCTTATATAAAACAAAATCTTAACCTGCATCACATAACAACTGAATTCTCACCCTTTATAAAGAACTATATTGTAACCTGTGTCACACAACTACTGGACTCTCACCCCTCATACAGAGCTATATTGTAACCTGTGTCACACAACTACTGGACTCTCACCCCTCATACAGAGCTATATTGTAACCTGTGTCACACAACTACTGGACTCTCACCCCTCATACAGAGCTATATTGTAACCTGTGTCACACAACTACTGGACTCTCACCCCTCATACAGAGCTATATTGTAACCTGTGTCACACAACTACTGGACTTTACCACTTACATAAAACTATGTTATGACCTGTGTCACACAACTACTGTACTCTCAGCACTTATACAGAGCTATATTGTAACATATGTCACACAACCACTGGACTTTCACCCCTCATACAGAACTACATTGTAACAAGTGTCACACAACTACTGGACTCTCAGCACTTACACAGAACTACATTTTAACATGTGTCACACAACTACTGGACTCTCACCCTTTATAAAGAACTATATTGTAACCTGTGTCACACAACTACTGGACTCTCACCCCTCATACAGAGCTATATTGTAACATGTGTCACACAACTACTGGACTCTCACCCCTCATACAGCACTACATTGTAACAAGTATCACACAACTACTGGACTCACCCCTCATACAGAGCTATATTGTAACGTGTGTCACATAACTACTGGACTTTCACCCCTCATACAGCACTACATTGTAACAAGTATCACACAACTACTGGACTCACCCCTCATACAGAGCTATATTGTAACGTGTGTCACATAACTACTGGACTTTCACCCCTCATACAGCACTACATTGTAACAAGTATCACACAACTACTGGACTTTACCACTTACATAAAACTATGATATGACCTGTGTCACACAACTACTGGACTCTCAGCACTTATACAGAACTACATTTTAACATGTGTCACATAACTACTGGACTCTCAGCACTTATACAGAACTACATTTTAACATGTGTCACATAACTACTGGACTCTCAACCCTCATACAGAGCTATATTGTTACATGTGTCACACAACTACTGGACTTTACCACT